ACATATTCTCAGTTAATGTGCTCTGTTCTCGAAATTCGAACCAAACTAATTTTAAATCGAATTATATTCATTTCCGCTTAGTAATTGATATTCATTAGTTATCGTGTAATTGGACAATCACTGTGCTATTGCAGAAGAAAAATATTGAACTCGTTTTTTTTTCAGGATACTTGTCAAAGCTTCGGCTAGGAGGTTACCACTATGTCTTGCTTGGTGGTGAATGCTTGGACGGACCACTGCGTATTTATGGCGGGTTAGTATCAAAGCCCCACTGCACTGCTTATAGCTACTTGCGCCATCTATACAGCAAACAATGTCTAATCGGTGACCATTGGTCCCCCATGATCCTCCTTTTCTTATGTTAATAGTGAGCTGATTTGATTAGATAACCACCTGTCGGTGACCGTGGTGGGAGGTCTAATCCCTCCTGGCCAAACTAGTACAGATGGGCTTTAAAGGAAAGGGTGTATGAAATGATCTTGTCTTTGCCTTCAGTTGTTGGTCGATAGTTTGATGGAATGTTGTCGGTTTACTTGTACTGACAAAAAATTCCTGCAAACCAAGTTGCCAGAGCTATGAGTTAACTGCCACAATTTCTCAGATTGCTACGTTACTGGTATATTTTCCTATAAGTACGTTAAACTGTTATTTTTTTTTAATCCTACATTTTTTTCTCACGGGCCAACCTTGTCTAGCTCTCGCTTTTTGTTGACTCCATTAACCAAAATGAATTATTATTGTCATGCTGAAATACAATTGAACTTTATTTTGCGGTAATAAATGAATGAATGAGTAGGGGCGTTCACACCTACAGAAAAAAGTGAAATCTAAAAATCGATCTTTGCATCGCGATCCAAAAATCTGTTTGTTTTTTGCGTGTGTGGACAAAATAGTTTCACTAAATTCACTAATCTCCGCGATCCAATGCGCAGTAAGTCTTGCAATTGTTTATGTGAATGGTATTGAGAATAACGAATTTATTTATTTAATCCCAGGATTCCAAGCGTGCATACACCGTCGATATTCAGGCATGCATGCGCAGTTCGGACGTTCTTGCCTACGAGCGAGAATTCTCCCTGCGTGTGAATGGTCGCCCCCCCCCCCCCCAAAAAAAAATATCTTTGCATCGCAATCCAAATCGCACTAATTGTTATATGTGAACGGGCCTAGTATATTTTTGTTAATATAGGGGGAATCGCTTTCAATTAAGAAGATATCATACTGGGAAAAAATCTTGTTTTCTCCTTTTTTATGCCCTTAGCTTGGAACCTCGACCAACCTTGCTGCTCTATCACTTCCTGGCCTTAAATCTGTACACCGCTTACTACCTCCTCAAATCGGCACCGTGGTACGCCAAACCTCTTGCTCTCCTGGACGGCCCGCTCGTCTTCATTCGCTCATCCGTTATGTTCTTCTCCCTTTGGCTATCTGAATGCAAATCCGTGACCAAGTCCTAGCATGGCTCTCCTGGACGGCCCGCTCGTCTTCATTCGCTCATCCGTTATGTTCTTCTCCCTTTGGCTATCTGAATGCAAATCCGTGACCAAGTCCTAGCATGGCTCTCCTGGACGGCCCGCTCGTCTTCATTCGCTCATCCGTTATGTTCTTCTCCCTTTGGCTCTCTGAATGCAAATCCGTGACCAAGTCCTAGCATGGCTCTCCTGGACGGCCCGCTCGTCTTCATTCGCTCATCCGTTATGTTCTTCTCCCTTTGGATCTCTGAATGCAAATCCGTGACTCAGTCCTAGAAGTAGAAACCTAAACTGTACCCTAGACGTTGAAATGTGTTGTTCCGTGCATCGAAATTGGTTCGGTAATGTTTAAGGTAGTTTTCAGTTGCGACAGGAAAGGGCAAATCCGTGAAGGATTTTGAGTAGTTTTAATTTACACACCACTAAAAATTACTTGTTTATGATGTAGCCTCCAAACTAAAGAATATTTGAAATGAGTTTCAAAGAGTAACATTAAGTGGTTGGGAAAAGCTCTCTCCCTAGTCTTAACATGTTTACAGGAGATTTCACTATTGAACGGATATGTATATTATGTACGATTTAAAACTATCCATTTAGGATCTTTGGAAGAAAATGGGGCTGCACCTGCACCTTCACATAAGATTCTTTCTTTTATTTAGGTATTTAAAAATGTGCCCCCCAAAAATACCTTTGTGAAAAAGACGAGGAGTTGTAGTATAAAGGATATTAGTGAATTGAGAAGTAGCGATATAATAGCTTTTCACATGATGTTTATATATCATCATTCTACAGGAAGTAATTCTAAATAAATTCTTCATTTAGATTTCACTCTATATAATTATACTCAGAAGAAAAATGTATGAAAAAAAAACTTTACTAGATTCATTGCCATCTCACATTCTGTCATAAATGGAATACATTTGTTATCTGCATTATTTGATTGGTGTATTAATCGGTGTATTAATCAGTATATTAATCGGTAACATATTATTTAAAAGACAAAATCATCTTTGTTTGATCAAAATCGGTTCAGAGACGGCTAAAATATAACAATATCTAATACTTGTGTACCACCACAAATATTAGCTATTTTTAAAAATTTGAAAAAGCCGTTGAAAAAAAAACGAAATAACGCCTTTTACGTAGTATTTCAAGCCAATGCCGATGTTGGCTTTTTTGTTGGCATTTTCTTGTTGCTTATATTACGCACAATCAGCCGGCCCATGTACTGTTATTTTTAATTAAATAATTAATTAACGGTCACCGTGTTGGTGAATTGGTATGCTCGTATTGGCTAAATTTCTCACATTTTGGGGTCTAAAATTACCTTCATAGCAATTTTAGGTTCTAAAAGGGCACTAGAAAATGTCACAGATAAGAATAAGAGCAATAACCATGCACTTTGAAGGCATTTGCAGTCTGAAAACAGAACTCAACTATCCCTTTACCCAGTCAAGATGTCTATAGTCTATTGTATAAGGTTTAGAAATGTCACTTTAGATCATTTCATGAAAGTTGTTACGGTCGTGTACAAAGCAAAGTAAAACGCTAAGTTTTCCTTTTTACTGTGGTTTTCTGTAATTGTTCTATCTTTTATCTTCCTTTTTTCTATCGCCTTTTAAAAGGCACATTAAGGGTGAACGTCTTTATTGAATTCAAGAATACTTAAGGTATACAAGATTTAGTCTTATTTATTATTTAGGGGATGGGTGGGCGTAAATTTTGTTGCCTCCCTCGCCAGATCGGCCAATATTTCATTTACTCATGTGATGCAAAATAAGTGGTTGTACGACACTTCCTCCTGCAAAAATTGCTCACTATAATTTCTGCACCAATCGAATTTCTAACTCTGAATCCTTAACCTAAACCTGACATAAAACCTATTTCCATCAATATAATTTTGACGAAGTAAGCCCGAATCAATTGTAGGCGGAGCACCAAATAAAGAGACTTTAACTGAACTTTAATCCTATAAGCTCAGTAATTCGTCGCCTGGCTGGCAGAAGGGCGTTTGCTCAAATTTCAGGTCAATAATGAAACTTTAAGCAGAAGGGCGGTAGCACTAAATCGCCTCAAACTTTATAAAACTGACTTATTTCCAAGAAAGAAATTGTGGCCGTGTTCTACTACCACGTTTATATTAGTCTTTAATGTTTTAAACCAATTTTCGGAATGGAAAGCAGTTTAAATATCAAATAAATCTTTAAATGCAAATAATTCGAAAAGTAGTTTTCGAGTCGCTTGCGAGCTAACGCTCTTTTGCCACCCGGCCGACGAATTTACAGTGCGTCCCAGAGAACGAAACCGAGAATTATCGTTTTTTATCATAACTTAATCACAATCATAATTAATAAATGACACATATTTGTAAAGCTTAGATCCTCTTCTTTCATTTGATGCAACTCACATGACTGGCGAATCCAGGGGGGGGGGCCTGGAAAAAAAGAAGTGTATTTTTACATTTTTAACGTTAATTTTACCTTTTTTGGAGATGCCCCCCCCCCCTCCTGACGCTCAAGGGGGGGGGGGGGTGCAATTTTTCAAATTTTCGAGGACCAAAAAAAAAGTGCTCACTATCCCCCACACCCAACCCCCAAATGAGTAAAACATTGGCCGGCACGATTTTCATATTTCAGCACATTAAATTTCAAATTGATTTCAAATTTGGGCCCCCACCCCTAAGAAATCCTGGATCCGCGCCTGTCACATGATGCATATTTCACGCATAGGTGATTAGAAACAATTTGAAGAAAGTGTACCAAAAAGTCATTTGGCGAACAGTATCTTACTTTCAAAGAGAAAATCACATTTCTAAAAAGTTAATTTTCTGCCCTTTCATATGACACCTCAACCAGGAAATATAAGCCAGGAATATCAAAGCTCTGTTTGTTTAAGTAGTGCTTGCATTTTCATAATTTTATTAACCGAATCCGTTCCACTCATTGCTGCCCAAATAACAAAGAAGACGAAAGACTTCATGCATGGCTGATCGTCAACGAAACGGAGCATGTTCTTTGTTGCTACGGCAATCTAAATAAGCGGGGGGGGGGGGGGGGGGGGGGTAAGGTAAGGTCAGCTTTTTTTTTTTTTATTATTTGACAAGGGGTTTCGTCCAAAACACACACATAAAAAAGTTAAAGGGGGGGTTCGACCCCCAAACCCCCCCCCCCCCCCCCCCCCCTGCGTACGCGCCTGATTCAAACAACCACTCTAACTTATATGGCATGTAACCATTTTAGAGCAGGTTTGAGTAAAATATCTTGATCAACCTATAAAGCCGGTCTTGGTTTGAGCGGGCATATGAATTGTTCAATTGTCATGTTCTGAAAAACGACCCCTTACTCTTCCTCTCTCTCTCCCCACGGAATATCACTCTTGTCTGTTGTGTTATTGTTTGCACTTCTTATATTTTCAATATCATTTATTTTCGAAAAAAATAAAAGAATACCAAGATTACGGCGATTAACTCCTTTTTAGCCACACCCTTTAAAAAAAAAACACACAACAACAACGCGATGCGGAAATACAACACACTGAAGCACATAATTCCAATTTCACGAACTTTCAGAGAGGGGAGGAGGGAGACAGAGAGAGAGAGAGAGAGAGAGAGAGACAGAGACAGACAGAGATAGATAGATAAATAGATAGAAAGAGAAAGAGAGAGAAAGAGAGATGATTGTGATGAATTATGATTTTGTTCTAATCTCTGTCATTCATTTAGCTCTTTCCATTACAAACAAAACAAATAAAATATGCGTACAAAGATTCAATAAATATTTTATTGATACAGCAACCTCAAATCAAAAAGGGTTCTAAAAGATGTATAAATAGAGAAAAACTAAACAAAATTAAGCGGGAGGCAAAAACTATTTGAAACGAAGTCGAAAGCATTCAAAGTATTTGATTGCTTGTCTGTTTGTCTGTTGAGATTTTCAATTTTGGTCCTCCACGTGAGACAAGCACCTCATCTGTTCAGAGCCAGAAGGGCATTAACTCTGTGTTAAAGTATGTGAGTTTATTAACACCCTTCTGGTTCAAAACAGACGGTTTATTGAGAATCAAAATTTAATTCTGAAGAAATGAAAGTCAGAAGGACATGAATTAATGCCTTTTTTTACTCTCAGCAGACAATATTTGTCTCAATAAGAATGTACACATTTATTGTTCTATGTGGAGGTTTGAGATTTAATTCTCAATAAATGCTGATAGTCTGAAAGGCATTATATAAACTTTAGGCGTTGTGGCGTGCGCCTGTAATCCAGCTAACAGTGGAAGTTACAAACTGATTCAGCCGAGGACGCAGGTTCGAAAATAAGTCACGTCTTTCGGATGGTGACGTTTAAAGGTCGGTCTCCAGACGTAAAGAATCATATCTGATTGATACGTGTCTGTAAAAACCTAATACACACACACTTGCAGTACACACCAATACTTATATGCTAGATGATCAACCTTTTCTGATCGATTCTACGTTTCTTTCACAATGCAGTCGCAAGACCAGAACTGGTCTTTTTCTTTAAGATTTCTCCGAGTGATGGCGTGATCCCCGAGAACCGTTCGCCGACTATAAGCGTTAAGCCGAGTGATGGCGTGATCCGGACCGGCCGGTTCTCGGGATTGCGCCATCGCTCGGGATACTACTTGTATGTCCCTTTTGCAGCCAACATCAAATTCTGTAGAACTACAGAGAGACCTATATCACACCATGGAGTCGTGGACCCATCCCCTCCCTTTCCCGTTCATGATCATACATACAGTGCTTCAAAAATATAAACTAATTCACAACATCCCCTTAGTAATTACGACTGAGAAGTATCAAGAATTAATGCTGTGTTAAAATTAAATGAGCTAATGTACGGCCTACTTCTGACTTCACAGAGGTGCAGTATTAACTAAAAGGAATACCATGACAAGCTCTATTAAAGATGCTGTCCGTTTTGCAGCCAACATCAAATTATGTACAACATTGCAGGAATTATGAATATGTCATGTATGTCCTATCTTTGACATTTAAACGTTAGCAGTGTCTACTGTCATAATATTTAAATTATGCAAGGAAACCGTTTACTTGCTAGACTTCACTGTCAGACACTATTGAGTGACTGACTGGCTTTTTCTTCTTTGGTCATAACATACATAAAATGGGCAGTAAGGGTACATGAGCATTTGTCTACAGTAATAATCCACTTCTTGTTATGGCCAAAATTAACTGATTGAATCTGTGTGCAGCATAAAACATACGACCATTCGGTGCAATGGTCTGAAAATCAGACCATTATTTACTGGCTCTATAGCTCTTAAGTTGATTCGACAACTAATAGTGGTTATTTTCCCACTTAAACACATTTTCAAGCCCCCATTTTCTTAGGGAAGTTCTTAATCAGTATATACTTTCAAATGCCGTGGGAATTTAACCTTTTCAATTTTTGTTTGGCCTGAAAATGGGACATAAAAAATCAATAATAAGGGTCCAGAACTAGACTAGTCCTGAAGCTGCAGACAATCGCCACACAAACAATGTTATGTTAATGAGGCCTAAAAGCAGAATAGGTGTGTGTGTGTGCGTGCGTGGGTATGTGTATGTGCGTGTGCGTGTGTGTGTGTGCGTGTGTGTGCGTGTGTGTCGTCTATCGGTTTCTTGAAATGGAAACCTATATACATCAAGTTTGAATATTTGGTGTTCATTTTTCTTTTGATTTTGAAAAAGATATGAATAATTGAAAGAGAAAAAGAAAACTTTTAGGATGGTGGAAAGAAAGAGAATATTAAACACTTATGGGTAAAATATACTCGTTTAACTCATGTGCATTGTCAAAGTCAAATTATGTCTCATCACTTAAAGTAGTCCCCTTAGTGGTTGCTTACTGAGGTGGACATTATTATGAGTGTATATGGGCAGGAAAATTTCGGAGATGTAGAAGAAATAATAAATTAGAATTACGGGAAGAGGGGTTATAAATGATGAGATTTAAAGGGAAAGTCCACCCCCAAAATAAGTTTGTTTCGATAGAGGCAGAATAATAAGAAA